GCTGTAATATTAATTATATTAATATTACTGATCGGAAGCGGCCTCCACCCAGGCATTCCGATCACTTGACCTTACTGAATATATTAGCTTTCTATTAATTCTGAACCCGCTATCAGAATAATACACTTGTTCGAAGGACACCATTCCTTTCATGGTATTCCACCACACTTGCTCCTCATAGCTTGAGAAGTAAGTACCATTGGGGTCATAGACTTGGTTGAGGGTGGGCCATTCGAAAATTTCGTTCAATCTCGTCAAAGTTAAGGTTTTTTCGACATTGAACATTCTAAATTTTATCTCACATTCCAATGGCTCATCCTCAAGGCTAATGCGTTTCATAGAAACCGATGAAAGGAATTCAAGAGTTAGGGAAGAAAAGGTTTCTTCCCCAAGGTCCAAGAAGTTTAGCCAACCGAAGTTTTCGGCTACTCTTCTAATTCCATCATCGAGCCCTAGAAGTCACATTGATTGCTGATGATAGAAACGGGTTGGAATAATCTTTCGTTTGGAAAGGTCATCGAAAGGCTTTTTAAATCGTTTATCGATTTTTAAAGTTGGTGGTGGGTTAGGGTTTTCTCGTTGTGAAGGGGATGAGGATGTTTGAGGTTCACTTGTTTTTCTTTTCTTAATCCCTCCAATGAATTCCTTCATTTTTAGTTTGGAAAAGGTTATTTAGGAAAATCACTCAACAACAAACAACTCCACACACACCCTTAACTTCAAACCCCCTTTAAAAATCCAAATGTACCTGTTCCACAACACAACCAACAATATATTCCAACACACAAATTCCCAACAACAATGTACTTCACTAATTTCACACAAATCACATTCACAAAATCACAATGTTTATGCAATTTTCAATCTCAAATTCAACTACTCCAAAAATCATTCACAATTTTCTCTAACAATTCTCCATAAACAACAATAATTGTTCAATTCCAACCAATCATGCAATCAACTACACAATTTGTAAGAAATAAACAATAATTTAGAAAATTTGAAAAAGAAAGTTGAGTAGAGAAGTGGATTATACCAAATAGAGTATGAAAATACTCTAAAATCCTCTAAGACTACCCAAATTTGCTACTCCTTCTTCAAGCTTTCACCTTTTTGCTCTTGTTCTTCAATGGAGATTTTGTGGGTTTTTGAATTTTTGACCAAATTTGTGAAATTTTGTGATTTTTAGAAAGAGAATTGGAAGGAGAGTAAGAATTTGTGAATTTTGAGTGAAAAAAGTGAAGGTTTGATGATGATTTTGATGAGAGAAGGTAAAGAAAATGGGGTTTTTAGAGTGAGAAAGTGGTGGGTAAAGAGGAGAGAGAATATGAATGTGGAAAAATGAGAGGTGGGAGATGAAAGAGGGTAAAAAGGGATAAGGGGAAATCCCCTTTTTTTACACGGCAGGGAAGGAGCGGGCGTGCAAGGTTCGAGGAGCGCCCGCTCCTGCTGGTGTTAGGAGCGCCCGCTCCTACTTCTTGGCATCGACTCTGCCTGTTTTCCAATTTTTTTTTTTCGAGAGCGGAATATAGGAGCGGGCGTGCAGGGTGGTAGGAGCGCCCGCTCCTAACATTTGCTGTAGAAACTGCCTCTTCTGAGTACAAAGGAGCGGGCGTGCACTCCTTCAGGAGCGCCCGCTCCTAAACTTGCTGGAGTTCCTACCTTGTTTGCTGCTAGTAGGAGCGGGCGTGCACTCGGGTAGGAGCGCCCACTCCTATCTTGAATTGTCGAATCTGCCTATTTCTGCTATCCTTTTGCAAATTTCCTACAACAAAAACAAAACACTAAACAAAACATTCAAAATGTTAAGTGTTAGTTTAAGCTCTTTCATCTCTCTCTTTTTTTTTTTTTTTTTTTGAGTAAAAGCAAAAATACTCGGGTTGCCTCCCGGGAGCGCTTCTTTAACGTCACTATCTTGACGCAAATTCGAAAAGTATCCTCAAGGTGGGATAAAGTTCGAAATCGAATTGTCACCATTGTTTTCATTGTTACAACTTGCCATCTTGGGGCAAAACCAAATTGTTTTCTTGACTAATACCTACAACAAATTTATTTTCATCATTTTTCTTTGAATCCTTCTTCCTTTTTCTCTTTGACTTTCCCTTCCTCTTCTTCTTGGAAGCCTTGATGTCACCCTCTTCATCCTTGTGAGCGTCGGACTCACCATCTTCAAGCAGAGTCTTGAGGCAAGCAAGCATGGCAATCACCTCATCAAACCTATCCAAACCTTGCTTTGACTCATGGACATTGAAAAGAGGGTTAGTAGCACAAAGCATTCTCAACATATGCAAATCATTATCACTAATAGCATCTAAGGTCATGCAATCTTTCATGGGGGAAGGACATCCTCTCTTGGGGTCAATAGTAAGACAAAATTCATCATCACCCGCATTTAATGTGAGTTTTCCTTCCCTTACATCAATGATTGCACCACCCGTTGCTAAGAAAGGTCGACCTAGGATAATAGGGGTGAGGGTATCTTCCGTCATTCCTAGCACAATAAAATCAACCGGAATGGTGAAATTACCTACCTTGAGAGGAACATCCTCAACCTTACCCTTAGGGAATTTGGTGGATCCATCGGCAAGTTGAAGAGTGACATTAGTGGGTACCAAACCACCTATACCAAGCTTCTCATAAACCGAAAAGGCATCAAACTCACACTAGCTCCTAGATCACATAGGGCATTCTCAAAGGAAATGTTCTTAATAGAGCAAGGAATAGAGAAACTTCCGGGATCTTTTAGTTTAGTGGGAGAGTGGTTTTTGATAATTGCACTACAATTTTCGGTTAAGCTCACCATGGTGGACTTACTCATGACAACCATCTCATCCTCACTTGACTTAGACACCTCACATTGTTTTTCTTCTCTAACCTCCTCATTCTCACTCTCTTTTTGCAAGCTCATGGGTGGAGTTTCATCTATGCTAGTCCCACATCTAGTCATGATTGCCTTACAATGTTCTTCTTGACTAGGAGAAGAGGTGCTAGAATTGTTACTTTTAAGTGCATTAACTAATTGAGTAAATTGAGTTTCTAGCATCTTATTGTGGACTTGCACTTGCTTGATAGAGTCCTCTAAGTCATTGGTTTTCTTGGTTTGAGAATTAACAAATTTTTCCATTGTTGTTTCTAGACTTGACTTAGGAGGGGGAGCTTGAAGTTGGAGAGGAGGTTGAGGGATAGGAGCAAGGGTAGGTCTATTTCCTCCATTAAACCCGGGTGGGTTATGATTAGACGAATATTAACCTCTTTGGTGATACCTATTGTCATTTTGTTGATTAACTTGGTTGTTTGACACATAGTTACCATTACCTTGGTTCCTATAGTTTCCTTGATTATTTTGAACATTCCTTTGGCCACTATATTGACCTTGACCATTTCCTTGGGTTTGGCCCCCTTTCCAACCAAAGTTTGGGTGATGTTTCCATCCCTCATTGTAGGTGTTGGAATAAGGGTCATACCTAGGATTGGTTTGACCATTGTTGATTGCATTTACTTGTTCCATGGAAGGGGAATGGGAGCATGAATCATTTAACAAATAGCATTCCGAAGTCACATGGTCATCACTTCCACAAGCATCACAAGACATCATTTGTATTGACATGTTATCGTTTAAAGAACTAGATGCATGCAAATTTTGGCGTGGGGAAGGGGATAGAGAAGAGGATTGCAATTGATCAAACTTAGAAGATAAAACATCTAATTTTGAATTAATCATGTTTATAGCATTTACCTCATACTTCAAATTATCAACTCAAAACAATTAAAATTAAAAATTAAGAGCAAGAGATAGAGGAAAAAGATTACTTAAAATGCTTCAAAGTTGAGAAATTGTTGAATTCAAGAGAACAATCTTCAATTAATCTACTACAATGATTGAGTTGAGAAGTTCTAAGCTAATTAATGAGGGTTGAGAGAAACTAAGGACCTAAGAAAACTAAAAGGGGAAGAAGATCATCTGGAAAACTGAAGCCAAGGGTCGTATTTATACACCCCGAAATAACATTGTAAGATCCGCCCAAAAAGTTGGGTCTGCATGTAGGAGCGCCCTCTCCTGGCTCTTGCGCGCCCTCTCCTCCTGCAGCAATTTGAGGCAGTTTGTAGGAAAACAGGGAGGAGCGCCCGCTCCTATATAGGTGCACGCCCGCTCCTAAAAATGCAGGGGAGGCAGAATGTGGCAGTTCAGGCAAGAGCGCCCACTCCTAACAGGCTGCACGCCCGCTCCTGCTTTCCTTTGCTTCCAAAGAGTATTTCTTCATGCTTATGCTATTTAGCCCATTTTTCATCGTACCTACAAGCACGAGCACACACATAAAAAGAAACGGGGAAGCCAAAAGATGCAAATTAGCACAAGAGGAGTTAGAAAAAGGGATTAGAGTAGGGGAAAGAGTACAAAATTGTGTTTAGAAAGCCATGATAAGTGGACAAATAAAACACTTATCAAATAGAAATCACAATTATGAATTATTTGATAAATTTGATTGTATATCACTTTCAAAAAAAAAAAAATGAAGATTTGAAGGTGAAGTTGTAATTGTAAGTATGCTTTTTTTTTTGTTTTTTTTTTCAATTTTTGGACTGTATAACTAAGAAATTTGGATTTCCAGGTTGTAAAACTTATAAGTATTAAGCATAGTCCGTACAATTTTTGTATGATTAAAAGGTTAATTCATTTATAGAATGTACGCCACCTTTAGTCCGTCCTCCTAGGTGGAAAATCCTGGCTTCACCACTGGTCTAACTTGTAGCTTTTGAAAATTACAAGCAAGTCCTTATCTACAACCATTGAAGGTGCTCCAAGACGAAATAAGTATTCAAAATTAAATGTGTGCATTAAATTACGTAGAAACTAATGCATAAACAACAAATAATGGGAGACTTTGGGGTAATTAATAAGTTCACACCATTGGCTTTACTTGGCCTAGTAGCAAGCTGTCAACAGTCAAAGAATACATACATAGAAATGAATCAAATGTATCAAAAACTCCCATATTAAAATAGGACCTAAATGATTTCATTTGATTTGATTCACTATTAATAGATACTCTATTACAACTTCATACATACATACATTGTCTCATTTCCCATTCTCAAAACAAATAAACAACCTTAATCCCTTAAACCCTTACAATAATGGATCCTGATAGAGAAAACAAATCAGCTGTAACGACGTTCGAAATCGACAATTCGACAACAAACACAACCCTAATAACCTCCGTAGAGAAGACTTTCGAAGGAACCGTGGTACCACCATGGAAACAACAGCTAACGATTCGAGCATTCGTCGTAAGCTTCGTGTTGAGCATTCTTTTTACATTCATTGTAATGAAACTCAACCTTACAACCGGGATTATACCATCGTTGAATGTTTCGGCTGGATTGTTGGGTTTCTTCTTTGTTAAGACGTGGACAAAGTTGCTTGAGAAATCTGGTTATCTTAAACAACCTTTTACTCGTCAAGAGAATACTGTTATTCAGACTTGTGTTGTTGCATCCTCCGGTATCGCCTTTTCTGGTGAGTTCTTCAATTTTTACCGGCGTAAATTGTTCTTGAGTAATTCTGATTTTTATTGGTTTGATATTAATTAATTACGTTTGTTAACTTAATGGCTGATTGGTTTGATGCAATTTCTCAATTAGTTCCTTAATTTTTTTCAATTATGTATAAATTTCAATTCAAATGGTATCTAATAATTTAGTGATAATTATGTACAAAGATTGTTTTAGTAGAAATTCATCATTGATTGATGAGCGCGTTTTCTGTGTGATTGGGTACTTATTTTATTAATCGGTCGGTCAGGGATTACTTATTCAAGAGTTAGGCCCCGTTCACTTCACCTTATTTTTGCTGAACATAAATTATTTTTAGTGAACTAAAATTATTATTTTTGAAACAGAACTAAAAAGCTTAAATTATTTTTACTAAACTGAAATTATTTTTGCTGAACTGAAATTATTTTTGTTGAATCTCTATTATATTTATTCTTTACATTTACTGATTTTTACTGAACTGAAATTATTTTTACTGAACTGAAATTATTTTTATTGAACAAAAATTATTTTTGTTGAACTGAGATTATTTTTACTGAATATTATATTTTTAAAGTGAAGTGAACAGACCTTAATCGATCAGAGATTAATTGATCAACCACATATAAAAATTTGTATTGGTCTTTAATTAGTCTCCTTTTGAATATTAATTTTTAATAATTTTTCAATATTTATGGAAGGAACATATAATAAGAAAAATTAAAATTAATATCAAGAAGGATTATTTATGTTTTGAAATAATGTTCATTTTTTGTGTGGTTTGCTGAGATAACTGATCCTATGATATGACGGGTCAACTCATCAAGAATACTCTTTGTAAAGACCAAAGAGAATGATTTTTGTAGTTAATTTCTTATATTAACGATTGAGAATGTATGAAGGGAAAATATTAGGGGCCATAAACCTCAAAATGTCCCCAAATATTGAACATTACACCTAAGTATGGTCAAATACATTTTGTTCAACATTGTACACCAAGAAATCAATTAATGCGTTCAAACAAGGATTGAAGGACATTTTCTATGAATTTAAAACATGAGTTGAAGATTAATCTACTTCATTTTGTATGGATTTTAATTTGTAACGTATGGACTATGGAGTGTTTGGGAGTCTTGTGTTTGTTGGAATTTTCCAAAATTGACTATTACACTCACATAACTACATAAGGACTTGGATTAAGTTTTGTTGTCATACCTTATTGTGCCATTAATGACATCGCGTGATTTAGGTGTTTTCATCATAAGAAGGATCATCGCGTACTCATTTTCCTCTTTTAAATGAGTATCAAATCTTTTTTTCAATTTAAGTATAGTAAATTTCTATTTAGAAATAATTTGATTTCGTACGGAATAAGCAATTCCATATGGAGTTTTTGGTTTTAGCCATGTACAGTGCACCATTTGTTGTATTTTCCAATTATTTACTCATGTTTGATTATGGGCATATATTTTCTTATTGCCAAAATAAGCAATTTGTTGGGGACTTTCAAACCTTGAGTTTAAAATTTTACGTATTAAAGTGTAATTAAAGTTTTTGTTTTTGTAAATTGGAAGTAAGTTTTTCAATTACTTTCATCTAAACCGGGTTTGCTTTGATATAACTCATTAACACCCTAAAATACAAGAGTTAAGCTTATCTTACAGCTTTTGCTCTCTTAAAAGAATATTGAAATTACCAAAAAAAAAAAAAAACAAAAACGTGTACCAAAATTATTCTTTCTAATTGGATTTCAGTATTTCACAGTTCACAGTTGTTTTCCATTGTATAATGATACGCCAATAAATTTGAGATGGTATGCAACTATGTCATCAGTCAATTAAAGAGATTTTTAATATACCAAACCAAACCACAAAAAAAAAAAAAAAAAAAAAAAAATTAAAAAATTAATAAATAAATAAAGTAGATTATTAAATAGTTTTAGTAGGAAAAATGTGGAATGAATTCAATATGCAAATAAACAATAATTGATTTCATTTTGTTTTTATTTTTTGTTAAGAGGCTATAGCCAAGCTGAATATATTGAACTAGAAGTAGCAACAATTGTGAAATCGACCAGCAAGTATGGAATCCAAATCTTCTATGACATGATTTATTTCACTTATGTAATCATGTATTATTACAATTTGGATAATTACGACGGAACATAATAATTATATCAACCAATAAACCAATTAGAAAAATAAAGTAACACACTGGACGTGCACACGAACATGGCTCTAAATTATGTAGCCTCACAAAGTCAGTGTAGAATTATTATGTAACACTTCCAAACAACGCATATTAGCGTCTCACTTTGACAATAATAGTGTAACGATCTATAATGTTACTCTTATAGTCTTATTGACCTATAGTTTTGGGATGAACTCTAACTTGATCTGGTGGAATGGACTCTCTCTCAACTTGCTTGTGTCGAGGGCAGGGGCGGACCCACCTTTAGTCATAGTGGGTCCGGTGACACAGTATTTTTTTTAAAAAATAAAATATCAAAGAGACCTCTTATTATAGATAGGCGGTCTCTTTGATGCTGCTAGTGGTAACAACAAACAATATCAAAGAGACCGCTTATTAAGATAGGAGATCTCTTTGATGCTGCTATTGCTACAAAAGACTTGTGTGTTTTTTTTATATATTAAAGAGACCTGTTATTTATATAAGAGGTCTCTTTGATGCTGCTATTGCATTTCACAATTTTTTTGCGTTACTTTCTTTTTCATTAAAGAGACCAGTTATATTTAATAACTGATCTTTTAAGTTATCTCACTTTTTTTTGTATAATTTTTTTAATAATTTTTTTTCCCTTTTTATATCTTATATTTGTACAACCAATTTTAATATTTCCCCATAAAGCTTATCAATTAACTAAAAAATCATAAAGTTAATTAAATATAATAATTTTATTGTACCATTGGTTTATAACATGTTATTTGTAGTATTTTCGACTTGTAAAATTGAATTCTTAAGTACTGTATTTGGTTGTGATATGAACTTTTGTGTCCTATTTTTGGATTGAAATCAATTTGGTATATGTATATATACATATATATGTATGTATATATACATATATATATATATTTTATATATATAAGTTTTGGATTGAAATTAATTATGAACAAGACATGGAAAAAAAATTGTACTTTCACAAATGATCAATAATTGATGGTGACACACTATCTCGGAAATCCTGGATCCGCCACTGGTCGAGGGGTTGAACTCTATTAGACTAGTCATTATACTGGTGTTACACTATATTAGACTAGTCATTGTACAATTAGATTGATTATGCATAAATGATTTCGCCTTTTACTTGTATGTGTAAATTAAACTATGTAATCAAGGAATAAATTATTGATATTGAGCAGGAGGTGCGGCAAGTTACGTTCTTGGGATGAGTGATAGAATTGCAAAGTTGGGAGATGGCTCTTTACATGACACCAAGAATCCTTCTCTTGGATGGATGATTGGCTTCATCTTTATTGTTAGCTTTATTGGACTTCTTTCTGTTGTTCCCCTTCGTAAGGTACGTATTCAATTTTATTAACGAACATTTTGTTTGAATAGAAGTAAATGGACCAAAAGAGAGGAAGGAGGAGAGCGAGTTCCTTTGTTTGGTTAAAGGGGAGGGAGAGCGAGGAGGGAGAAGTTCCTTGAATTCCCTCCCTCGCTCTCTAGTAGATACCATCCCTTCAAAATTGGAGTGATTTGGAGGAAAATCGGAGCTCCATATTTCCTATCCTATCTCTTTTCCTTTTAAAATACGTTTATTTATTTCATTAAAAGTATATTTATTTTTTGACGGATTTATATTGGTAGAATAAAAAAGAATGGAGTCAATACTTGATTTAATTCGTGATTGTATCGTATCATATTGCACATAATAATCTATATATGCTTTAAAACATGGATGCTTAGATTATGATTATCGACTACAAACTCATTTACCCAAGTGGGACTGCTACTGCTCATCTCATCAATAGCTTTCACACTCCAGAAGGTGCCATTATAGCCAAGTAAGCTTTACATTCTTATTAGCTTGAATACTTGATTCCATTGTAATTCATTAATGGGGTGAATCGAATCGAATCGAGTCGAGTCATTCTGATATTGGCTAACATTTGTTCTTTAACTTGTTATTTTTTAACTATAGAAAAAAGGTGAAGATTTTAGGCAAATTCTTCTCTTTCAGCTTCTTGTGGGGTTTCTTCCAATGGTTCTTTGCAGGAGGTGATGATTGCGGATTTGTGAATTTCCCAACTTTTGGCCTATTAGCCTATGATCAAAAGTATGTGTTACATGAAAATCTTCTACTATTTATTTAGTTTTCATGCTAAACTGATAAATGTCATGTTTACTAGCCTCCCTTACAGCTATTATACATACCTTACATGAACAGATCAATTTAGTTTTGAGAGAAGACCGTCCTAACTACAATGTATTGCAGGTTTTACTTCGATTTTTCTGCAACGTATGTTGGTGTGGGTATGATATGCCCTTACATTGTTAACATATCTTTGCTACTCGGAGCAATTATATCATATGGTATCATGTGGCCTCTTATAGCGAAACAAAAAGGACATTGGTTCGACGACACCCTTGCAGACAGCAGCCTTCATGGCTTGCAGGGCTACAAGGTATAAAGTTTATGTTTGATTATTGTATTTTCAATGAGAATTGATGATAAACAAAAAATAATTTATAATATCTAATCTTTTGATTGCAGATTTTTATTGCAATAGCCATAATTTTGGCTGATGGACTATACAATTTTGTTAAAATCTTCTATAGATCAATGTCAGGCTTGTACAAGCAGTACAAGGCAAAGAACTCCGGCGCAATCCTCCCCTCTAACGAACATAAGACCCCTGAAGTCTCCCCTGAATCATTCGATGACCAACGAAGAACTCAATATTTCCTCAAGGACAGCATCCCAAATTGGTTTGCAGCAGCTGGTTACGTCGCCATTGCTATAATTGCCATGAGTGCACTTCCAAAGATCATCCATCCACTCAAGTGGTACCATATCTTAGTCATGTACATTGTTGCACCAATTTTAGCTTTTTGTAATGCATATGGTTGTGGCCTAACTGACTGGTCCTTGGCATCTACTTACGGAAAGTTAGCAATCTTCACGATTGGTGGATGGGCCGGTGCTTCTCATGGTGGGATTGTTGCAGGGCTCGCGGCCTGTGGTGTTATGATGAACATCGTCTCAACAGCATCAGACCTTACACAAGACTTTAAAACAGGTTACATGACACTAGCCTCACCTCGATCAATGTTTGTGTGCCAAATAGCAGGGACTGCAATGGGCTGTATCATATCACCGTGTGTCTTCTGGATTTTCTACATGGCTTACCCTGATCTTGGATTGCCAAAGACCACATATCCGGCACCATTTGCATCCTTATATCGAAACATAGCTCTTCTTGGAGTTGAAGGAGTGAGTTCGTTGCCTAAACATTGTCTCTTGCTATGCATAATATTTTTCGTTGTTGCAATTGTTATAAATGGACTAAAAGACGTGGTAGGTGAGAAATACTCGAAGTTTATACCGATTCCGATGGCCATGGCTATACCATTCTACATTGGAGGCTACTTTGCTATTGACATGTGTGTTGGTAGCTTGATACTCTTCGTGTGGGAGTACAACAATAAGGCTAAGGCTGATATGTTCGCGCCTGCAGTTGCTTCCGGGTTGATTTGTGGTGATGGTATATGGAGTTTGCCTAGTGCAATACTTGCTTTGGCTGGTGTAAATCCTCCACACTGCATGAAGTTCGAATCTAGCAAATCTAGCTAAGTTGGAAGAAATCAAGCTAATGATATGAACATAGACTATTAGTGTGTGGATTTAATTTCCTAGTGACGCAAAAATTGTATATTTGGGTTGCTATTTTATCGTTAATGCATGAATCCAGTACAATTCAACAATATCGTCCCTACTTTTTCTTCCCTATATTAATAAAGATCGATCATAGGTGAATTTTCATACAATTTTGTAAGAAACATGTGAAAAGGGAGAAAATTAGAGCCTAAAAAAAAATTGCTAATTTTACAGCAGTTACAAGGTAAAGATACTATGTAGAAGCTTAAATATGAAATTCATACAATAAAAATACTTTTAGCATAGATCCATATTGGCCAACTACAACATAAAGTTAAAGATACAACTAGAAATAAGGGTAAATTTATAGCTATATCTCCACAGTTTTTATCATTATTGGCGTTCAAACCATTAAACACTTGGAAACCCTTAAAAAGCTAGTAGTTAGCTACACAAGCACCACTTTAAAGTAGAATAAAATTACTATCACAGAAATCTGATCCCTCTCCTCAGCTTCAATGCAACATAAGCCAGGTAATTCTTACGAGGTAAGTTTGAACCAGCTGCTGTGCTAAGCAACCGCGATGCTGGGACAGATGGACATAAGTTTAGAACTTCCCTTGAAGTGAGCCTAGCGAGCAAAGGATCCCAGTGAGCCTGACAACGCACAAGCTTTCAATTATGACCAACAAAAGAAAAATGTAAAGGAAATTTGCAGAGGAGTTTTCCTCAAGACTTGACAGTTGACAACCATTTTTTTTTTTTTCGAATGTATGATTATCTATATTAGCATTTCACACAACAGTTAAGGGTTGGCAAAACAATCAGGCGGATCGATTTTGGGTCTGGTGATCTCAAGTTCAGGTGACTTTTGGTTTTGGCCATGACCCAGAATACTCATCACAGTTCCTTTGTTGGTTGGATTAAGGGTGCATTCTCTATTTTGATTTTTGGCAAATTTATAGTGTTCATATTTAATGTAAAAGTTCAAAAAGCATAATCTAATAGATAAAACATAAATGATAGTAATACTAGTAATAATCTATATCTATACTTAGTATTTAAAAACTCTAACCATGATACACACATGTCTTCATCCTATGTTCACTTCTCCAATCCAATGTGTCAAGTGTTCACTATTCTAATTCAATGTGCCACATATTCACTATTCCAATCAAATGTGCCACATGTTCAATATTATTCTCTTTTCAATTCATATATTCATTTATTTATATATATATTCATATTAGTATTAAAAGGATTAAGAATTAAAAGTTAAAAATAAATAATATTAATACTACATTTTTTTTAAAACCAATAATAATAACAATACATAATAATATTAATATTATTATTTTTTGATACTACATTTTTTTAAAAACCAATAATAATAATAATAATAATAATAATAATAATAATAATAATAATACTAGTAATAACTTAGTATTTAAAAACTCTAACCATGATACACACATGTCTTCATCCTATGTTCACTTCTCCAATCCAATGTGTCAAGTGTTCGCTATTCTAATTCAATGTGCCACATGTTCACTATTCCAATCAAATGTGCCACATGTTCAATATTATTCTCTTTTCAATTCATATATTCATTTATTTATATATATATTCATATTAGTATTAAAAGGATTAAGAATTAAAAGTTAAAAATAAATAATATTAATACTACATTTTTTTTAAAACCAATAATAATAACAATACTTAATAATATTAATATTATTATTTTTTGATACTACATTTTTTTAAAAACCAATAATAATAATAATAATAATAATACTAGTAATAACAATACATAAAAATATTAATCTTGTCGCACTAAAGCACCTTCCATATTCCATATTACAATCAATAATAATATGACCTTCCAGGCTTCCACCTGTTCAAGTTAGAATCATTTCCCTTTTTTATTTTTAAAATTTTTTATTTTGGTTTGAGACACATAATCAATTAATCATCTTCTACCTTTATTACCTTTTTATTACACATTAATGATTTCTAATATGGAGTATCTGCAAACCCACAACTCTTCCTCTTCATAATCCCCTAGCTGCTGATCAATGTTCATCGGCAAATTGTACCCATAACTCTTCCTCTTCATCTCCCCTCTTCAATTCCCACAAATTAAATTTCTTAAATTATCATGTTTTCGGTTACAAATTTTGCCCACAATTATAATAATGGTAACGATGATTTTAGGGTATTTATTCACTCATCTCTCAATGCAATATTAACTCTCTACAACATAGTACCTCCATCATCAAATCTATATGCAGAAATACCTTCACATTTGGTGAGTTTCTATCATCTTGTGGTTTTTTTTTTAAAATAATTATTCTTATTATTCTGATTTTGTTGATTTGTTGAATTTATATATGACAACCTGCAATTAACAAGATTTATAAATTGTTGTTTGATTTTGTAGAGAGCTAGATGCAAATTGAAGGTTGTTGCAAGAGGTAAATCTCTTTGGCAACTTTAATCTACTATTTGGTCTAAGCTTCAACATTTTTGGGGAATCAACATTGTGTAGTTGCATTAGCTTATCTGAATTTGGTTTGTTTTTCCTTCTCTGTATGTTACTTTCATAATCAATATTCCCAATAGATGTCGGTTTCGGCATAAATTGATTGATAGTGAGTCATAATTAATACGATTCAGGTTATAGTTTATCATGAGTTGTCCAACAATGACCAACCAAAGTATCCTTTCAATCTAAGTGTATAGCTGCAAAATTACGGCTTAACACCCACAATTAGTTGATGTAATATAAGATTGAAAAAAGAAAAACCCCACAAATTAAAGGAAAGGGACTAATTATTGAATTGAAAACATATGAAAAAATTATTAGATGAAAGTCAAGAACAATAAAAGGATTACCTTGATGAAAGAGGGAGATTAGATTAAGGAATTGAAAGAGTTAGTCCATGATACTATGAATTCTCTTTTCAGAATCGTTATATTATTGAACTTTTGAGATTATATTGCTTTTGCTATTTTTTTTTTCACTTTCTCCTTTGTGAAATAAGTATGTGATACTCTTATTAAGACATCTTCAATTTAGCAATATTGTACCCTACTCAGTAATTGTTGGTGTGTGATGCATAATCATGGAAATGGTATTTTTGAATTATTAAAGTTTCTTGGTTTAAAAAAGCCCCTTACTCATATCAATATTACTAATTCACAGGAAAGACGACAGCAACCCAGAAATAGAAGAGAGTCAACAGCAAAAATAGCAAAAAGAAAACAGAAATGCTGATGCTACACGACAAAGAATGACATCTCATTCTCATCTATCCCATGTAACCATAGTCACTTCAGACATATATTAAATAATAATTTGATCTACAATTTAATGTAATATAGAGTGTTAATTTTATTTCCCAATTTCAGCTAGATTATCTTACACTAGAATTAATTTAAATCTAAATAGATTACCTACAAATGTGTTTTCATATGTAATAATCATGGACAAATTTTCCCTAAATTAGATGATGCACTCATCTTTTCTTCCCTAATAAACCAAAGGGTTTGTTAAAAATAGTTTGACATGTTCATGCTCAAGAGTGGATTACTTTCATAATAATTATTTAATCCATACCCCCAAAAAAACCAACTAATAACAAGCCCCGTACATTGTACGGGCCTAAAGACTAGTTAACATAAAGTTATCAACCACTTAAAGTGTATTATGTTGGGTTGAAACCGCTTATTAGGAAAACTAGCCATCCATCCCATAAGCTGCACACGGCACACCTAAAGACCACGAGGCTAAGAACTGGCAGCAACAAACAACATGTATTCAATGTTTAAGAACAATGGAGAATTTGCATAAGAAAAGTTGGAATAAGATTTCCTACAGTCACATGATGCAACAGATAAAATCTCACAAATTTATCAGTAGAAAGTTGTTTATTTGATTCCCAACATCATTTTACTTAAAGATCGAAGATTGCAAAGTGCGATGCCAAAACTTGGAAACTGATGCAAAAATTTGTTGTCCAGACTTGGAGTATCTATTCCAAGAATGCATCACAAAATCAGGAAAATAAAATTGCACCTGCAATTATAATGCCCCGATATAAATCACCTTATTGTCAAACTTAAACTATGACTTACCTGATAGCTTAAACAAGTTTGCCTTCCAAAGCTCACGACGTTCCCTGTTAACCCAATATTAGATGCAAAGCAAAGTTTTCTCAACAAACATTGTGAATGTGGGAAACAATTGTACATGAATAAAGCAAAAGGATAAAAAGAGAGATTAGAAAGAACAATGACACTCTTAACCTGTAACAATCTCGCAAGTCAAGGTCTGCAGATTGCAAGGAAAAACCAGCTTTCTTAAGCAGCGCAGCAACATCCATCAGCACTTTCTCTGGAGGGATCTGAAAGAAAAAAGAGATGAGAACCATAAAATTGATATTGATGAATGATGATGGTTTACTAATTGATTGGAACGAACTCCCTCTAAACATATTCGCTTAACCATTGAGGTATGATATAAGCTTAAGGCATCACCAGCTCTTTCAAAAACATCAAACAGCACCACGGGCATCCATAAGCATGGACTTGTACTGATGGTCAGAATCGACTTCAGAACCCAATCCATCAATTTCATTCGTAACGTGTTGTTGAATTGTCATCCCTATTTGACACAATCATAAAAGAAATTGTACATGACATATACGCAGCTAAACATACTGACAAAATGGCTAGAAAGTAAACATACCTGTCCCAGTTGGACGCATAACCTCCTCTCGAGCAACCAAAAGTAAAGCCGCCAACTGTTTCAATTTTCCATTCTGAAGAAAGGTCCAAGCAATTTCATTGATTGACTCAGTATGGCAAACTAGCAGCCTTGCAGAGTCCAAATTTTTTTTCTATGTTGAAGAAATAAACAGGACAATATTAGATACATCACAAGCCAGTATTCATCCAAACACACATACAGTCACAACATATGATAAGGAAACGAAATGTGTTGCAAGCTGGACACAATTCTCATATACTACCTCTGTTACATATTATTTGCAACGATTTAGACATTTTCCTCTCTAATTTATGTCAAATCGTTGCAAATAATATGTAACGAAGGTAATAAGTCATATTCATTTAGTAACAATAAGCTAATTATTTTCCAAACAGCAAAAACAAAAGACCAACCGATTCCCAGGAGCAAAGTAATATTATAAGTTTGAAGATAGAATCGCCTTCAGACCACGATTGTAGAGGCAAATCCCTTTCACAACTGCAGGAAGAGCACAAGAGATCAGAAACGCGTGATCATAAAATTGAAATTGGATGACTAAATTAGGAGGTTGGTACCTAAAATGATCAAGTAAAAGGTAAAGTGGAGTCCCATAATTTTGAAGAAAACCTACATCACGCTTAATGTTGCATTCCACAATAGCACCTCGCTCGAGCATTATGCTAATAACATCAGGGTCAGGGAAGAAACATGAAACTGTATGAATACATCTAGCCCAGCCCTTGAGTTGAGGGAGTTGTTCGCACGCCTCCTCATTGACCATTGTAGTCAAACATTTTTTGGATGAGCTTGTTGCACAAATAGACACCAAATATTCTCCTATAATTTCTGGATGCGCACGAAGAAACTCCACGAAACTTTCTTTGTCATCGCGGTCAAGTATGCATACCAATTCATCAAAAACCTTTTCATGATCCATCTTGATTGACATCTGGAAAGAGAATCAAAAGTAGTAGCAAATCAAGAATCAACAAAGCTATAAGATTTTTCCCTCCAAATCTATTTTTCGTCACCTAAATTCTTATACCAAAAGAAAAGAAAAGAAATTTGATATTCAACAGTGTCTATCTCACACCCATATTATAGTAATCTACAAAGCCAAACTTCTCGTGGATTTTTCAACAAACAAACACCTTATAAAATCAATAAAAATTATATTCAAATGCAGTAATTAGCATACGAAAATATAATAATTAGAGAAAAATGAATTGAATTTGAAGCATTTAATACTAACCCTAGGTTCATCTACAAGACAAGGTATTTGAAAGAGAAAATGAGAAAGAGTAAAGAAAAGAAAAAGATTTTACCTTTGATAACAAAATAGAGCTTTCACAATTGGGAGGAAATGGCAGAAAGAGGAGGGATGGATAGATCTGAGAACAGAGGATATTTTTTTTTTCGGAAATTTCATGATATACCACTGAGTTTCTTCAAAATTCACCATATACCACACAAAATTTTTTAATTCACCATATACCATTGAGTTTATAAACGTTAGCACAGTATAGCATTAATGACAACTGCCGTCAGTGTACCGTTTGGGGTAAATTACTAGTATGCCCTTACGAATTCAACTGGTGTCATTGTTTAATTAATCATCAAAAAAAAAAGAATAAAAAAAACCCTTATCCCCTACCTGGCCACCGTAACCCCAACCACCACCTCCACCTGCCGCCGGCCGGCTGCACTTACCCCTCCCTTCACCTGCCCCAATGGTGGACTGGTGGTTGCGGTCTTGCGGCGAAGGAGAGGACGAGGTTGGCTATGGTGGATTGGTGGTTGCGTGCTTGCGGAGAAGGATAGAGAATTTGATGGTGGTGCGAAGGACTAGGTTGGCTATGGTGGGCTTGCGGCTGTGGAAGGGGGATGGGTTTCCGGTGAGACTAGGGAGAAGGGGACGCACCACCATTAAACCGTCCCTACTTTATCCCCAAACAACCACCACCGTTTTACCAGCTCCTCCCCTACTTATTTTGCGCACACTAGTACACTGTAACAACACCAAACAGAAGCCCCCTGCACCTCCCCCCTCACGCTACCACCAATCAACCACCACTCCACCTTCGCACCTCTATAGTGGCCCCAATTGCACCAATTTTGCATCAAATTGAAGACCCGTTTGGCATTATTACCCCTTTCTCCCTCGAAATCCCATCCCCAAACCACCGTCGGCGTCTAAAGCCCCCCTCCCTGCGCCGGTGAACCCAAATCGGCTGTCGGCGAATGGGTTTCGGGGGTGGGGGAGAGTCGATTCTGGGGTTTCAAGGGTGGGGGATGTGTTTTTCTAGGGTTTCGTTTGAAGGAAAGATAGTTCAAGGTGGGGGATCGTGGTATAAGGGGGAGGGTGATGGCAGGGGAGGGGCGACGCCGGCTGCGGGCGGAGGTTCGGGGCACCGGCTAAGGGAGGTGGTTGATTGGGTCTGGGCTTTGCCGGTGGTAAGAGGTGGGTGGCAGAAGGATCTGGTGGTTGTGGTTGGTTTGATGGTTTTTTTTTTAATAATTATTTTTTAAAATTTTTATTTTCAATTTTATTAATATTAATTATTCTTTAATTCTTTATTTAAGTAATTAATTAGATAATATTAATAAGAGCCAATAAGTGAAAGCCACGTGGCACAATTAACCTTAATTACTAACGGCGTTAACGGCAGACTAACGACAGTTACCACTAATGGTATTCTGTGCTAACGTTCATAAACTCAATGGTATATGGTGAATTAAGAAATTTTGTGTGGTATATGGTGAATTTTGAAGAAACTCAGTGGTATATCATGAAATTTCCGTTTTTTTTTGAAGGAAAGATGGGAAATGGGATATCCTATCCTAAACCCTTACCTACAGTGTTATACCCATACTGCCCTCGGTTTTAATTTAAACCCCACGTAGGTCCTTCTTTGTAATAAGCATTTGGTTGCAATTATCATCCATAGAAATCCTCTTTTCCCGTAATTCCTCTCTTCCACTCATTCATCTCCTCTCTCCGTCCTTGCGTACTCCAACAGTCCAACTCCATCCTCTCTTTCTTCCATTGAAGCATACCCATTTCCAACAGTCCAACGCTGGCTTGATGAACTTACCAGTACGTTGTTGAATTTTAATTTTTTTTTCAATTTTTCTGAATATTTTTTTTTGGAGTTTTTTGGTTGATGGGTTGTTTTTTTGATGTGTTTATTGATCTGGTTTGTTGATAATTTTTGTGTGTTTTGGGTTGATTTTTTGTGGGTTTTTATGTTGTTGTTGCATCAGATTTGGTGAAATTTTGGTGATTGTAGTGTGTTTTAGATATTTGGGTTAGCATTGGATTTTATGTTGCTGAATTTAGTTCAAAGTTGACATCTTCTTGTTAATTGATCTGAATTTTGTTGTTGTTTTTAAAAAAGTTGTGTTATTTTGGAGATTTGCTTGGAGTAAAATGAAATTGAATTTATAAAACCCTAACCCCTTTCTTCCTTAAGCCCTCTCTTTCTTCTTGCTCCTTCCCGCAGTCCTCTTTCTCTCTCTTCTTCTCCAAACATGCCGAAATCCAAAAGAAATCGCGCAGGTATTCTCTTCCTCCTTTTCTCCTTAGCTTTACATTCGTATTTTTTCCTCTTTATTATGTTCTTCTGTTAACTTTTAATATAATTTTCAATATATAAAGAATTTATATGTACTGCTATGCTGTGAAGAATTGAAGATACAGAATAATTATAGCTCACTCTTTCATCTGATATAATTTATGCAATTGTTAGTTCTACCAGCTGTAGTTATTTCATCTTTTTTTTTTCTATATTTTGTTTTCAAATTTTTATGGGATTCTTGGTGTTTTTAGTCAGTGAATCGTATAATTGCTCAATATTTGATTTTGGGTATGTTAAATTTATTATCTTTAATTTTGAAGTGGTTCAGAGAGTGATTACAGAGAAAATGATGGGTTTTTGGTGAATTTGATTATGAAAATAAATTGAAAATGCAGTGACCTTGTAAAGACAAAAAAGAAGGGAAGAGAGCTTAAGGAGGTGATTTCTAACTCTATAAGGGAAGCAGCAGAGAAGTTCCCCTCTGTTTACGTCTTTGCTTTCGAGAACATGAGGAATGTTAAATTCAAACAGTTCAGAGATTCTATCAAGTCCTCTGGCAGGTGATTGTTATTGGCAACCGCCTTTTTTTTTCGTATGAGTACTTGTTATGCAATTTGATGTTATTTTATTTCGATGTTTGATGTATATAGGGGTGAAAGATTGAATTTTGATACATTTTATGTACTTTACTTAATGGTTGACTGGTCTTTTCAATGGTATTTAGGGGCGAAAGATTGAATTTTTGTTACATGTAATGTACTTTACTTATTGGCTGAGTAGTCTTTTCAATGGTTACGCTGTGTAATGATCACAGTTGAATGAGCATTGTAGTTTTTTAGTAGGGACTAATTGACATGGTTGTGGCCTTGTGGGATTGTTTGTATTACAACGTGTAGCTAGGTTTCTAAATTTTATTTCATCGAGAATCATATGAAGCAATATTACTTCTAATAGTCATGCATCTTGCTGGTTGTTCTATGTGTTGGTTATGACTTAGTGATCAATTTCTGCCATTCGCAATTTCAGATTCTTTCTTGGATCGAACAAAGTCATGCAGATTGCTTTAGGTCGTTCTGCTTCTGATGAGATTAAATCTGGTCTTCATAAAATTTCAAAGGTAATGATCTGCTTATTATATGTCAATTACATTTCTTGGTCAGCTTTTGATCTTGTTTCATTTCTTCTTTGTTTGCTTCCTGTTTTTGCATTTTTTGCGTGTAGAGACCGGTCTTTTCTTTACAGACTTGTCAGAGGAAGAGGTCAAAAAGTATGCATGAGAAATTGTTCTTAAGTTGTCTCTGTCATTGTTTACTACCTTCGCATTTCATGTATCTATTAGGGCAATGTTGAGGGGACAAGCTGATTTTCTTTCCCTTTTTTCGGGTGATAAAAGACTGTCTGAAGATGGAATTCTTGCTTCAATGTTTGCATTGTGTAGTAATTGAAAGTAGTACATGGCTTTCTAAAGTTATTGTGTCAATGCTCCTCTAAATGTTGCTATTTGTGGCTTCATCTGCAGAATATTTGAAGAGTTTGAAGTTTTTGATTTTGCAAGGACGGGATGTCTCGCTACCGAGAAGGTTAGTTTTTATATTGTATAAAGTAACTGTTTCTCAGTCTTAAGATTATTCTGCCAGGACTGCCACATTGCTGGGTTATGTATATGCAAATGATATTATTTTCTTGTTTGGAGGGAAAAAGAATATTTTTGAGGCTAAAAAACTTCTGTGCATCATTCATCATTTATCCTTAAGCTTGGTGGTGTGCCTAAGCAGTGGAGTCTGTCCTCACTGGTCGAAACATTTACTTGCTAACAAGTACATAATTGGTACCTCTTGCTTTACTAATTATTGGTTATGCCTCCCTTGTAGCTCTCTTCAATGTTGATGGTGTCTTGAACTTAAGTTGATTCTTTAATTGCCTATTTTATATGCTCCAATTTCTTCTTGTTGATATATGTTCACCAGAAACTTTCCTCATCAGTTCTTAATTTTCATTTTGTGTTTAAATTTTTAATTATTTGTATGACTCTAAGATAGATGATTTTCATTAATTTGAGACATGAATGCAGCAAGCCAGCAACTTGCATTTTCTCATGGAGAATTTTATTAGACTTATTAGATCATACCCAAATTTAGGTTATTTGCCCATTCCCTGTCAGCTGTGGGAACTTAGCTACTTTTCTTCATATTCATACAATTTTTCCTTTATTGCAGATATAATAATTTGAATTGTACTGTATTTCTTGAGTCAGAACCTCAGTTTTTCACTGCACAACTACAACAATTATCGTTATTTGCGAGTATCACTTCTGAAAAAGTATTGTTGTGGAACTTCCAGTCGTAACAGATTTTGCTGTTAGCCATAGTATGTGCCTTGTCTCTTCCTTAATTAGCGCTAGAAATGAGATCCAGTTAAGATTACTCTGTGTCATGAGTAACCTATTAAAGGATCACTAAAATACAAAGTTAAGTGATACAAAATAGTTGCAAACACGATGCTTACATTGGTTTTCAACCATTAATCTGTATTATGAAAGTGTATAGAAAAATTAACTAGGGGGTTGCCAATCCTAATTTCTTGTAAGGCTATATCCCAGTCTATTTTAAATTTAAGTTTCAGTATGAAGCCTAAATCTGCCAGTTGTGAGTCAAGGTTTCTGTGTGATTTCTTGATGTCTAATATGATGTTTAAAAGCTACCTCATTTGCCTTTTCACATCTGTGCTAAGACATGTATTAAGTTTCTAGAAAATTGATTTACACATGGATTGAGCTCTGTGTTTCTCAACATGATCAGACACTATGGCTGCTTTCTCAACGTGATCAGACATTTCTTTCCCAGAATGAAACTCAAACTGAAACCTCAACACAACTCCAATACTGCAATCCATTTTCAATACAAATATCACATAAATCACTCAAATTAAACAACAAACAAAATACAACATAAATCCATAAATCCACATGAATTTCGATATTCACAGATCATCAAAATATCACACAACTGATCAACACTGCAATCCAATCAGTCAACCCTCATATACACACAACAAATAAAATAATTCACTCGAATTTAAATGATACAGAAAATACAACAAAAATCAGCCAGATAAATAACTCGAATTACACATGAATTTCACATAAATATCCACATGAATATCATTTATACAAAAATATAACATGAATCACTCAAGCAACAGAAGAAAAAATACAGAACCAGTCGAAAATACACACGATGTCAGGGCACCCCCCAAATACCACCAAATTTCAATCAATAACTGAACAAGATATGCTACTATCTTCAAAACAAAACAGCAAACATTCGATCTCACCACGTTATTGGGTTTCACATTCAATTTCAAAGAGTTTTAATTTAGGATTTACAGCAAACGAGCACATTATTGATTCACTGAATAATTGGATTGGGACTTCAAAATCCTAATTTTCAGTCATAAACATCAAATCATTAACCAACCCAACTCCCATATCAACAATGCCCCAACATCTAATCAACCGATTATTAGAACTCTGTAAGAATTTTCGCCACCTAGGGTTTCAACAATAAAATTATACCTGTAACTGCAGCAACGACGCACTAAAAAGCCTCTCCGCACCGGCGACGCTGAAATTCCATGTTTGAATCTGCTCCCTCACCCACTCCTCCCTCGAATTTTGCTGGAGATTGAAGAACTACATCTTGAATTTTCGAGGGAGGAGTGGGTGAGGGAGCAGATTCAAACCCTCCCCCCCTTCCCCCACCCCGTAAAACCCACTCCCCCCTCCCTTCCCTCACCTCGTAAAAACTCCCCCCTCCCTTTCCCCTACCCTCGAAAACGGCCGAAAACTCGGCCGTTTTCGAGGGGGGGTTTACGGGGTGGGGGTTTTTCGGGGGTGGGGGAAGGGAGGGGGAGGTGTTTCAGTTGGGGTGGGGGGTGTTTTCGGGGTGGGGGAGGTTTTCCGGCTGGGGTGGGGTGTTTTCGGGGTGGGGGCTTGGGAGGGGGTGGTTTGGGTGGCGGTTAAGGAGGAAGGGGTGGGTTTTATGTTTTTTTTTTTTTAATTTTGGACAAATCATGTGTTCACACGTGGCTTTTAAAAAACATAAAAAAAAAAAAAAATTAACCTTCTCAACAGGTAACCGGTCATTAGGACTAAAGAAAATGAAGACCCCCCAAAGTTCGGATTATTCCAGAATAATCCAAAGTTGGGATTATTGTACCAAAATTGATGAAAGTTGGGATTATTTTTTCTAATTTTTCCTAAGTTATTTGCATCGAAAACTTATTGATTCTATTTTTTGAATTGGTTTACTTCATTTCGGCTTGATTGATGTGGATTCCTGTTGGTTCTATTCTTTTGATTGGCTTAGCGTGTATTGAGTTAAATGATTTAAAATGCCATTGTTTCTATTCTTTTGAGTTAAATGATTGCTTATTGAGTTGATTGAATTGGAAATCATGTTTTTATCTGTTTTGAAGTTTAGAGCTATTTTTTAGAAGGTTCAAGTTCTTTTCGCTTCTGATCTGGTATTGCACTTAATTTATTACGGGTTTTATGTGATAATTTAAATTTGTTCACCATTTGTTCAATAATTTTCTCCCTGAATGTTTTTATTTTCTTTTGTGATTTTCATGTTAGCCGACCCCACTTTTGGGATTAAGGCTTTGATTGATTGATTGATTATTATGTAAGCCCTTGCTTTGCGCTTAATAATAGCTTATAATGATCTGGGCTGCAGGATTAAGAGCTGGTTGAGAGCATTGGCATCCTCATGCCCTCATTGTGCGGTAGTCCAAAATGGAAAATATTGGTTGTTCTAAGTTGATTAATGATTTTTGTCGTCAAGATATTACACATAATTAGAATAACACCAAGGGAATACCACGGGTTCCACCCATATACGAAAGGATGGTTGGGATGAACAATCTCGCGTCCTTTGTATAAATAATTACACAATAAATCTGTAAGAGCTAAGTGCCAAAGACTCAATTAGCATTGTTGCTTCCTGAAACCAACTTTTGTTTACTTTGCCTCTACGAGGTCAAGAATTTGTGGCACGTTAGCAGACCTCAAAGTTAGTTATAAGTTGTTGTAGACTCCAAATGATGCAATTAAATGTACTGAGGAAGTAAAAGAAAAGTAGTAAAAAGAAAGATAAATCCTTTTTGTTTATAGATGTGTAGTTAAGTATTTGAGAATCTGGTTATATTTATTGTCAGCTTTATAGAATTTGAGGTCATTAGTCATTCAGTTATTCAGTGACTATCACCATATCTTGATGTGTGATTATTTTTAGATAGTAAACAAGTTCTCTTGTCTCTTTTGCAGTTATTTTCAGGGTTTATGACTTGGATGGCAATGGAAAGGTGAATTTCAATGACATCATAGAAGTGCTCAGTGATATGATTGGTTCATTCATGACTGCTGAGCAAAGAGAGGTATGGAGAGTTTTACAACTACATTCATTTTTTGCTTTTTGTAGAGAGCTCATGTGGCATTGTACAGATGTCATGACCTGTATAATTTCCAATGGTGAAAATTAATATAGATAGTTGGCTTCAGTAATAGTGTCATAAAATTTGGAAAATGGGGCAAGGCATCAGTATCTCATCATGTAATACTTTAACCAAGCTATTTTTAAGCTGCAAAATTCTCAGAATGTGTTTCCTCTCAGTGTGTGAAGTTGTTGTATTCATTTATGCTAGAGATCTTATCAAATTGATTTTCTGATGTATATTTATCATGCTTTAGGGGGAAATTAATTGATGCATACAGATTTCTACATGTGGAGAAGAAAACGGAGTGTGGCTTCTCATGGTCTAGAAACCCAGTTGGAAAGTAAGACACTCAAGCTTTTAAGGCTTTAAATGACTTTGGATGCTTGTCGTATTCATTATATCGTACTTGTAGTAATAAGTTTACATCTTGAATTTCGGACATCCCTCAACTAATTTAACAATATCATAAGTTCTCAAATCTTATTAATAAAGCAGAGAAATAATCAAGCATCAATCACATCAATGCCAAAATTTCAACCTATATGCAATAATACTGAGATTACTGATTGTTCAGCAAGCTGCCATTAATATTATGATGAGGAGCACCAATTTAGTAAAATATGGGGGACAGCCTCTATGTTCATATAGTTGATTAACCCTTATTGCAGTTTAATCTTAGTACCTATTAAAGGCAGTTAAAAAAATAGGCTAGATAAGCCTATTACCAACAGCTCTGAGCCTCTAACATGGTTATCTTCTGAGTTATAACTAATCACCCTCTAATTTTACACATGCCCAACAAACTGCCATGATCCCAACTTTGATCCATATCACCTATAGTTCAGCTTCCCACTAATTCCTAATCCAAATAAAATGTCAGAGACATGATTCCACCTCAGATCATCTGATTCCCCTTCTTAATACTTCGTATTTGGTTTAAGCATTAAGGTAATATATTTTTTCCTTTCCAATTTATGTTACTTAAAGTATAAGACAACTATAAGCAAGAAGGAAAATACTTCCTTAACTTTCTGTTCCCAAAAAATAATTTAGAGGAGAGTAAGGGACAACAATGAGAGGGAGAAGGAAAGTGGAAGAAGGAGAGAAAAACATTTTTAGGAGACGATTTTTAGAGTGTGGTAGTAGTAGCAGCAGCTACAGTAGCAGTAATGGCAACGGTAGTAGTAGAAGCTGCAGCAGTGGCAATAGCAGTAGCAGTGACAATGGTAGTCGTACTGGTAGTAGTAGTAGTAGTAGTAATGGGAAGAATAGTAGTAGTGTTGGAAGAGTAAAAGCACACGTAGAAAGACTATAAATTCCTCAAAATCATGAAAGGGAAGCGATAAATAGACAAAGAGGAAAAGGAAGGAGGAAGGGAATTAGAAAGAGACTTTCTGAAACACGAGTGAAAGCAGGTAAATATATATCTTCTTATTGTTGTATAAATTACACTAACATGTCAGTACTCTAAATCTTATAATGAAAGCAAGTTAATCTTATAATGAAAGCAGGTTGCAAATTGGTTTAGTATTGATTCAAAAACTTCATCAGAAACCACATCTAAATTAGCAAGGTAGAAGCCTTGGGGATCTAAAGAAGAGATAGGAATATGTTGCGAAGCTCAACGTCAATATTCCAAGATGATCATCATTTGAACCAAGGCTACTGTTAACGAAGATATGGTGTTCTTGGGAAATTTGGTAGTCTTGGGTTTTATAGTAATAATGGGGCTTTTCTCTCCTAACCCAAGTAGTGGTATAAAGCATGTGTATCCATATCAGATTAATGATTTTCAGTGTTTTTTTTTCTTTGTAATGCAGGTTTTGGTGTTGGTAAATTGCGCGTGAAAAAATGATTGAAAGTCTCTGAGAAATTTCGAGACCTTTTGATCGTTTTGCTTACTTGCATTCTGGGTATGTCTCCTATTCATCAATTAATTCAAAACTTTTTCATGATTTAAATTTTAGGATCATAGATTTGGGGTTTGGGCAATTATTAAATTTAGCTTAAAGCTTCTGAAATGGTGATTTGATAAAACTTTGTTGATGGCATTTGGCAGAGTAGAGTTTAATTTGAGTATGGAAGCCGTTGCAGGGAAAGCCTCTACGCCCTATAACAAGTATAGACTAAACAACCCTAGCCGTGGAGGAAGCAGAGAAAAACAATAAAGTTGATCATGTTTGACATGCTTCCCTTTTTGCTGATGGGTATGATTGTTCTTTTGAAGTTCTTGTTGAGCGTGTCATAAATTTTGGAAAATGGGGCAAGGCATCAGTATCTCATCATGTAATACTTTAACCAAGCTATTTTTAAGCTGTAAAAGTCTCAGAATGTGTTTCCTCTCAGTGTGTGAAGTTGCTGTATTCATCTATGCTGGAGATCTTATCAAACTGATTTTCTGATGTATATATATCATGCTTTAGGGGGAAATCAATTGATGCATACAGATTTCTACATGTGGAGAAGAAAACGGAGTGTGGCTTCTCATGGTCTAGAAACCCAGTTGGAAAGTAAGAGACTCAAGCTTTTAAGGCTTTAATTGACTTTGGATGCTTGTCGTATTCATTATATCGTACTTGTAGTAATAAGTTTACATCTTGAATTTCGGACATCCCTCAACTAATATAACAATATCATAAGTTCTCAAATCTTATTATTCTTGAATTCTCTCCCCTCCCCCCATCCCCTCTCCCCTACCCTCAAGCTTACCTAGGAATTATCTTGTTAGGGAATCAGAGAGTACCATTAGTTGATGTCTAGAGAACTATTCTTATAGGATGTTAGAGTGTATCTGACAGAAAATATGGTATGATGCAGGAAACTTCTTATGTGTATGAGAGCTTATTAAGGCCATTTTGTCGAAACATGAGACGGATATGATAAGAACCTGCAAGAGTTGAGATATAGAGGTTGGGATGTAGCCATTTACTTCTGGCAAAATTGCATTGAAGTGGGATCATCAGCAATTTTCAATAATGTGTTTGATTACATAGCCAATTAGTCTTCTAGGCTTAGAGGTGGTGACACAGTGGTATGATCCTTTCTCAATATTTGTCGTTTGCCTATTGGATATATACAATTATACATTGAGCCTACCAAAATTGTGCCAGAATCATACATGCCTCAGTTAAAGTCGAATGCCTCATGAAAGGAGTCATAATTCACTATGATTAACCGATGTTTGATGTGTGCTAAATTACATGTCTAAAAGTTATAATTTGCACTTCAAACTTCTGACAGGCTAAGGAACCTTTCCTTATGAACTTATACCTGTTATTGTCTTCTTTAGGTATTTATTTATCATGGGGTAATGTCTGAGATGTTCTTCTGTACAATTGAAAAACATGTATGCAATGAGTCAGTTGGCATTGAAGTAGTGTTATAGACACTCTTTCTGGTAGTTCCTTACTTAGATCTACAGTTTGATTAGAAACTATTAAATTGGAGAGTAGGGATGATTAAGATTCAGCTTTATGATTAGTTGGATTTACAGTTGATTAGAAACTACTAATTTGAAGAGTAGGCGAATTTTCGTTGTTTGTTATCGATTGATTAAGCTTCATGTTGTTTATATGGGTTTTTATTTGTGAGTTGACTTCTAAGTATTTGAAATGAAAAATTTGTTTTCTAGAATTTACTGTTTATCCATCTTTTCTGTTTTCGCTTACTTGGAGTAAACAAAGGTCTAAGGTTCTATTTGCCTGAATTTTGTTTTAAAGTTCTTAAATTAACCGGGGTTGATTAAGTTGGGATAAACTTGATGTTTTGAGGATCTAATCGAGCACTACAAATTATATTCGAACTTGATTTCTACCTTAATAAGTAGACATCATGAATAAACTCTGGTTAATTATGAAATGCTACTATCGAATTTGTCTTATAGATATAAATTTGTAGGTTTGGAATTATTAATTTTCTGGGAATCCTTGCAACCAAGAGGTGGGAAGTCTCCCCACTTGGTCTTCTTTAGTAGATTGTCACATTGCTAGCTCATACTCATTCATTACTAATGCCACATTGTTAGCTCATATGCAATAATTATGTCATATTGTTTGCCCATTGTCATTATCACGGTATATGTAATGCCCTGATCATGGGAATAATCTTGGATTCACTTCGTTGAAATTTGCTTAACCATGTACTTTTTTTTTTATACTGTAAATAAATGTATCATATGATAGCTAGGGATTTACCTTTGAACCTTGTTACTTTTAAGGTGCTGCGGAAATGACAAATTGGACATCTTAATGGGGTTAGCTCATGAGAGATTTCTATTGGTTTATTCATTTGTATTTTTGGCTGGTTGAATTACTGCTTTACAAATGATTGTTTTGATTTTCATACAAGTTCGCTTTAGATGATTTTGGTCAGCAATAGCACACGTCTAATTGATTTAAAGTTTTTGAATTGTTGTTTTGACCTTTCTCGTGCTTGCAGTTTTAAATTCTTAAAGTTATTATGTGTTTGTTTTAGGTTTGTGAGCTGCCAGCTCTTCTTGGGTGTGCTCATTGATGATGCTGATGGTGAAGTTGAAAGAAGTTCTTCAAGAAAATGCAGATATTTTGTGTTTGTTTAAGTGTTTAATTGCAATGGAATGGTTGGATAGTTAAAGTTGTAAGCGTTAGCACCAACATGATTCCGAGTTGTTCTTACATTCATCTATCCTGTTATGTATAGGATATTTGTAGGACTCTTGAAAAATGGTGTCATCTCGAATTTGTTTGTGTTGATATAGGCTTTTTTTCTGGTTTTATTTTTGGCTCCAAATCATTAATTAAGTATTTAAGAGCTGAATAACTTATAATAATTGTAACTAGGTTAGCACCCGTGCGATGCACGGGTTTCACAGTAACTTATCTTTGGATTTTTGTACTGTTTTCACGTTTTTTTTTAGCAAAATAATAGATTCATTTTTTAAATTAATTACCTAAAAAATAGTAATTATCTATTTAAAATTAATAAGCATTTTGTTTCATTAAAAAAAACAAAAAACAAAAAGCATTTGAGCGGGAAATCTTTTCATAAGATAGCGCCACGTATACAACTTTGGAAAAAGATGACATCAGCGGTTGCTACTTTAGTATAAGTTACAGATATATATCATATAAACTAAAGTTATGAGAGTTTTAGCAATCAGATTTGTTGCTAAAATTTTGTATGTGCAATTTATGTTTCAAGCAAGAACTTTATTTTTGGAGCCTAATTTGATAATTCTACTAATTGAGTAAAGTGTGATTGCTACTTCAAATATCAGTTTTACAATCTTTGGTTTAATTTCGCATCATCGCATGTTTAAATTTTAGTATATCAACTAGTTTAGTCCCCGTGCATTGTCCGGATTAAGTAGCTATTATTTGTTTAAATAATTGTCCAATTTTATATTCAAAAAAGTGTAATCATAATCTCATTAATTAATTTTGAAAGAAGTATTGTATTTATTTAGTTTGGAATAGTCCTCAAAAAAAAAAAAAGGATTATATGAGATAAAAAATATAAAAAAAAAAGAGAAAAAAGAATGATGTCAAAAATAGTTTAGGCGGGAAAATTTTTAATAAAAAAGTGACGTGTCCCTTTATGATGTCAGCAAATTTTGTTTTCGTAATAGTTAATAGATCTAGGGGTCTTCTTTGACAGAATATTGAAATATTGGTTATATTTACTATAGATAACTGTATTTATGTGATAATCGGATTACTTTAGAAAATCGGGTCAATTTGCTTTGGAGAGAGACCAATAAACAAAAATAACATAAAAAAATCAAGACAATTAGCTTAGAAGAGGGAGAGAGAGAGAGAGAGAGAGAGACCACTTAAGAAAATCAGGGGAATAATAATTACTACCTCCGTTAAATGTTATCTGCAACTTTTACTATTTTAGTCCGCTAAACATTACGTGCAACAAAAAAATTTCTTTCCTTTTTTAGTAAAAAAATACTAGTCAAATGTCAATTTTACCCTCATTTAAAAAATTAAAACACATTTTACCAACTATAATCAAATTTAATTAATCACTAATTTCTCACCCAATTATTACCCCAACCAACCCAATCTAATTTATCAACTCTTCATCTTCAACTCAAGAACCCCAAAACCACCTTCATCTTCATCTTCATCTTCATCTTCCCCCATATTTTCTCTCTCCTCTTTCCATATCATTATCTCTCTTTTTCTTTCTCTCTCTTCAACTTTCAAGAAATTGAATTTGTGATGGGTTTGTTGAATTGTTGGTGATGATTTCGTAGTGGGTTTCCGTCGGATCTATGCGGGCTTTCATAAGAATGGTGGTGGTGGTGGTTTCGTGGGGTTGATGGTGGTTTTTTGGGGGGTTTTGTGGGAGTTTTGTGGGGTTTTCGTGGTTTCGTGGGGGGTTTTGTGGGGTTTCGTGAGAATGGTGGTGGTGGTTTCCGTCGGATCTATGGGTTGGTAGTGGTTTCGTGGTGGTTTCGTGGGGCTGGTGGTGGTTTTGTGGGGCTGGTGGTGGTTTATGGGGTTTCGTGAGAATGGTGATGGTGGTGGTGGTGGAATTCGTGGGATCTAAAATGGCGGGGGTTTCATGGTGGTATCGTGTGGTGGTAATAATGGTGGTGAAGCCGGCGTTGAAGGCGGCGGTGGTGTAGGTGAAGGCGGTGCCGTAGTGGTGGTGTTGGAGAAGGCGGTGTTGGACTGTTGGCTGGTCTTGGTGGTGGCAGTGGGTGGTGGTGGCTGGTCTTGGGGTGGTAGTGGCTGGTTGATTAAATATCCAAATATTCTCTATCCACCTTAATTACATGCCCCTAAAATACATTAATCATCATTATCAAATTTTGCATCGTGAACCGCAAACCCTCCCAAAGTTGCAGAAAACATTTAATAGAGGTAGTATTAAAAAAAACCTTAGCTTAGGAAATGCTTCCTAACATGTGTGTGTGTGTGTGTGTGTGTGTGAGAGAGAGAGAGAGAGAGAGAGAGAGAGAGAGAGAGAGAGAGAGAGAGAGAGAGAGAGAGAGAGAGAGAGAGAGAGAGAGAGATTACTTAAGAAAATCAAAACAATTAATCACTTAAGAAAGAAAGAGAGAGAGAGAGAGAGAGAGATATCACATACAAATGATCACTTGAGAGAGAGAGAGAGAGAGAGAGAGAGACCAGTCAGACCACTTAGGAAAGATCATTGGAGAGAGACTACTAAAAAAGATCACCTAATAAAAAAAGGGAGACTACTTAGGTATATCAGTTAATAAATAAAGAGAAAGTAGCTTTGAAACAGAGTTATTGAAATATTAGAAAGTAAGAGAAACCACTTCTAAAAGATCACTTTAAAATAAAAATCACTTTAGAAAAAGGAAATTGCTCAAGGAAAAAGATCACTTATGAAAAGTCACTTAAGAAGAAAATTCACTTAAGAAAATTAAGAGACCACTTAAGAAAAGTCACTTCAGAAGAAAAGCCACTTAAAACAATCAAGAGACCACTTAACAAATTAGGGCAATTAGCTTATAAGAGAAAATTTGGCAATTAGCTTGGGAAAGGAAGAGAAAGAAAGAGTGAATGAGATAGACTGCTTAAGAAAGATCACCTAAGAAAATTAGGGCAATTAACTTAGAAAACATAATTTTTTAAGGAAAAAAGCTTAGTAAAATGCAAGAGAGAAAGAGAGACAACACAAGAAAGATCACTTAAGAAAATCATGGCAAGAAAAATCACTTATAAAAATAGGATCAATTGGTTTTTGAGAGATGAGAGACCAATTAAGAAAGATCACATTAAAAAAAAAAAAAAAAACCTAGGCAATTAGCTTGAAATAGAGAGAGAAATATCAATTAAGAAAATCATAACAATAAGCTTAGGAAAACACAATTAGCTTATTAAAAGGCTTACGCTTAAATGCGATACAGAGGGAAAGAGAGAGAGAGAAAGAGAGATCATTAAAGAAAGATAACTTAAGAAAATCAAGATAATCAGCTTAGAAAAACACAATTAACTTAGAGAGAGAGAGAGAGAGAGAGAGAGCACTAATTAGCTTAGGAAAAGGTTTACCAAAATGATAGCCACATAAGCTAATTACATTTTCTTAAGCTAAGTTATTATTAAGAAAAATTACTAGAGAGAGAGAGGGAGAGAGTGCACGTAAAGAATATAATTTGAGAGAAACCAATTAAAAAAGACCATTTAATAGAAATAAAGATGCCACTTAAGAAAGATCATTTAGAAAATAAGAGAAATTAGTTTAGCAAAAAGAGTTATTAAATCCTAGAGAGAGAGAGAGAGAAAGAGAGAGATGCCACTTGATAAAGATCACTTAAGAAGAAAGACTACTCAAGAAGAAAGAAAGATCACCTAGAAAGATTAATTAAGAAAAAGAACAATTAAGAAAAACACTTAAGAAGAAAGAGAGAGAGAGAAAAACAAATAAGAAGAAAGAAAGAGAGAAAGGGGGGAAGATATATATATATATATATATATATATATATATATATATATATATATATATATATATATATATATATATATATATATATATATATATATATATATATATATATATATAACTCCGGCTATGACCAAAACAAGTTGACGCATGTGCAGTATACGGGGATAAAAATCCGGGTTGACTTAAAGGAACTATGACTCGATTTAAGGCATATTTATTAGTTCAAATTAATTAATTAATTCAACAAAGTCCTTTAGTCATTGGTTAGTTTATTAAGACTTATTTACAAACACAAGTCAAACCAAATGGTTAGCTTAGTCACATATAAGCTATGCACAAGTAAGAGATGCACAAGTAGTCAAGTAGTCACAATATGATGCAATGAGTTTGCAACCTAACCATGACTCTAGTTCTCTAAAGTTCAAGGATATGGGTTAGTCGAAAAGGGTCCATGGTTATGAGTCCTGATGCATCGCGCGGAAGTCTTACCTTTGGAAGGGTTGGCGCGTATGGATAGGACCCCGCAAGTTAAAAAATTAAAAATCGTATGATTTGTGATCGATGCATATATATATATATATATATATATATATATATATATATATATATATATATATATATATATATATATATATATATATATATATATGCTGATTCTCTCTTTTCCTGGCATGCCATCTCTATCTTTCATTGCTTCTTTTTTTTTCATCTAGTCATATTCTTTCCTGATTTGCTTTGTTTCTCTCTATCTCTCTCCCATCCTCTTTCTTTAATTCTTTCTCTATCTATCTCTCCCTCCCTCTCTTTTTCCCTATCGTACTCTATCTTCCTCTTTTTCTGTCTCTCTTTCTTTTTCCCCCCTCTCTTGCTCTTTTATACTCCTCATGCTTCCTTTTTCCCTCCTTTGGCTCTCTCTCTAAAGATTTATATGACTATGGTTTTACAAACATTAAAAAAAATTCTCATGAATCTAGCATGATTTTATCATTGTGTATAAAATAGTGTTGAGATTTTTATTCTAATTGTGCTATTAATCAATTGACTTTCTCATAATTGTCACAGAAGTAATTGTCAAAATCCCCCCTCTTGCTTACTTTGTTTTACCTTCTCTTAGCTTTCTCTTTCTCTCACTCGTCTTTTGTGATTTTGAGCACATTAGAAAGCTTCTAAAAAGTATTATCATCTGCTTACTAAATTACATTTTATAAAGCATTCCCCGTGTTTAGGGTAAAAATTACCCCAATTATGTGGTCCAATCCCATGATGACACGTGACCCAATCAAGAGGTGACATGTGTCACCGTAGGAAGATGACATGTATTGAAGAACACAAGAACACATGAAATCAAGAGAGCAAAGACCTCCTTACATCAAGAGGCCCAAGATCCTAGAATGCCGCAAAAACGGCGCCCTTAGAGGACACGTGCCCTCCCCTGATTGCGCAGCCAATCATAACACTAA